TTGATGAATATTAAACAAGTAAGGAAGGTGCAGAGTGCACACTTGTTTAGATTCATTCAAGATTCAAAGTAGATTGTCATTTAAGAGCGAAGCCCCTAAACGAACGGGGGTCCGGGGGCAGCGCCCCTGGGAGCAGGGTCCAAGGGGCAAAGTCTTATCCAATTAAAGGTTGGGAGTACCACCCAAATACTTTAATCTGAAAGTGTTCACACGATTCTCAGAATTTCCAAGCCTTTTTCTACACCCAAGATTCCAACACATGTGCCATGTCGTGGCACCGAATTGGACAAAACTATCGACGGATCCCAACGTGCCACACCATGGTGACCTAGGGCCACACCGTGGTGATCCGTCTGAATGGCTTCAACAAGTTAAGTCGCTTTTAACTCATTTATAAGGGTTTAAAAACCTATATCTACTCCTTAACGCCTTAATGGATAAAGTTCCCAACTTTATCCATTAAGACGCTCCATTAAGACAAGATCTCTAATCAAAGGTCAAATAAGGGTAAAATCATGACATGGGCTTAACCATAAAGCACCTTTCCTCAAAGTTCTTAGCCCAAACAACTCTATAAGAGTTTCTAATACCATATCTAGCATAAAGTTGGGTGCTTTATGGCCATGCATGTATAATGCTTGTCTATAATCCATTTTAGGTCAAAAAGGGTAAAAAGGTGACCAAAACTCAACCTAAATCTCAAATCCATGAGATATATGTTCTTGGGACCCTTAAGAGGCAAAAGTTGCAAACTTTATCTCTTTTATCTTTCCAAATGCAACCAAGAGTCCAAAATGTGCTAAAACTCTAGATCTATGAAGATAATACCAACAAGAATAGAACTAGAAGGCTCACCAAAGGTCCAAAGAGTAAATAAAAGGAGTGGAGATGGATCTCTAGCTGAATCCTACACCACACTTCTTTCTTCTTCCTTCAAGAATCACCAAAATCACTAAAATGTGCTCACAATATGCAAAGGATGCAAGGGTTAGAGTTTCTGGGTATCGTAGGGTGATGAAGGCTGATAAGGGGTGAAACTCTAGCTACTACTTCCTTTAAATATGGCTCAAAGTCCGGAAATTAAGGTTTTTGCTCAAATAGTTGCCACCACGTCGTGACTAATACTTGCCACGCTGTGGAAAGCACTATTGATACACGTGTTTCCTATACACTGCCATGCCATGGCGATTCATTCACCACGTCGTGGCCAACCCAAAATGACAATTAAACTTCATAATTAACATACACAAAACCAAGCGTTATAGAAACATTGATCTGAAAAATGACTTATGTAATGGAAGTAAACTGGAGGTGATAAAATTGGGTAAACGTGTTATTAAGGCAATTATCATATCTGGAAGTAATAGTAGAAATTTGGCTTTTATTCCAAGAATGTCTTTAAGTCCTTCAAAAAAAATCATTTTAATTCCAAAGAAGACAATTTTCATTGGATGTATATTTTGCAATGACTATTAATAAGATTCAAGGACAATTATTATCCAATGTTGGTTTGTTTCTCAAAGATCATATTTTTTTCACATGGTCAATTGTATGTTGTTTTATGTAGAGTTCAAAGTAAAGAAAGATTAAAATTGTTAATTTTATATAATGATGGTAGACTCACAAATAAAACTTTCAATGTTATTTACAAAGAAGTTTTTAGAAATTTATAAACAATGTACAAATGTTTTTAATAGCATCTTTTACTTTAGTAAATCACACTTCATTCGTAATGTTAATTTATAATTTACATGTTGGTTGTATGTATGTTTATTACATTACCATCATGTTTGATTTTTCATATATCAATGTCATTTTCATTATTATTTTTTATTTCTTTTACTATACTCAAATCTATATTACATCATACAAATTTATGATTTTATTAAATAGCTAAATTTACAAAAAAATAAATTGTTTTTTAATAATCCTTTATATATTTATTTTAAAACAAATTTATAAACTTACTAACATAACTTAAAACTTTTATAAATTTATACTATTGTTTCTAAATTTTTATTAGTTATTACGATTTCAAATTATTAGTAAAAGTTAATTTTTGGCACTTATTAAATGACAATGTTAGTCAAATTAAAAAAAAAAAAAAAAAAACAAAAACAAAATTTACATTTTCACCAAAATTTTCTTTCACTATACTCAAATTATGTTATTTTATGGACATAATTTTCTTTCACCGTAATCAATATAGATTTTCACCATAATCTAACACAAAATTAATAACAAATAACAAATGTTGAAAATGAAATTTTCTACTGTGAGATCAAGTACTTTATTTACCATATGTCTCAAGGCTAAAGGTGTGTGTACGCCCGTTTTGAACCGGATTTTTTTAAGTCAATTTAAAAAAAAGTAGATATTATCTTAGACCTGTTTCAACTGTATCCGGTTCGATATTTATTTGAAATTATGTTAAAAACTGGTTTTTTGGGTTAAAACCAGTTCGTTCAGGTATAGTAGAAAAATCAGGGAAAAAACTATTCCCAATTGGTTCTCAAAAAACCGGTTCGGTTTTCCTCCGGTTCAAAAAGTCGATTTGAAGTGCATACCTTCACCTAAGTTTGTTTTCGCAAAATAGAGTGTGTTTTCACATGCTTGCCAAGACTATTTTCACAATGTCTGATTATATGTTTATTTGAACAGTAACAGTAAAAAATTTGCAAATTGCTATTTTTTACTTTTAACCCCATTTTGTCTCAAGTATTTATCAATATTTTACAACAAATACTAAATTTATTTGACACTATATGTAAGGAGGATCTTCGACATTAACTATTTTTTTTATCTTTGTGACCTGCAAAATGAAATCACATATCTTCGCCAATATAAGACATTAGCTTCATGTTAGAGGCTACAAAGGTTAAAAAATAGCTAAAGATCTTAGAAATTAATTTTTTTTTTAATTTTTTTATAACCTTTGTAACCTCCAATGTGCCGAAGATATGTGATTTCATGTTGGAGGTCACAAACGTAAAAACAATAGTTAATGTTTGAGATCTTCCATGCATACAGTGTCGTATAAATTTAGTAATTATTGTAAAACATCAATAAATATTTGAGACAAAATGAGCTTATGCTAAAAATAGCAACTTACTTACATAAATGTCCCACTCATTGTTAAAATAAACATACAGTTAGATCTTATGAAAATATACTTGATTTGAAAATAGTCTCGATCTTGTGAAAACATTCTTGGGTAGAGGTACACATTTCAAACTGATTTTTTTAACCAGATAAAAACTGAACCGGTTAGGTTAAAGTTGAACCACCGGTTAGTAATAGGCTTTAATAAATATTTGAAACTAGTTTTTTTTTCTTGATTTTCTACAATAACCGAACCGAACCGATTTTAACTAAAAACCTGACTTTTTTTTACGTAAACCAAATCGGTTATAATCAAAACCATCTAGAAATAATCGGATTTGTTTTAAACTGATTTTAAATAAACCGAAACTGATTCAAAACCAGTGTATGTGCACCTTTAGCATTGGGATAGAAGGTAACCGATTTAATTAATGAAATAATAAGAAATAAGTTAAAGATGTTTTTAATTTGAAAAAAAAAAAGTTTTAGGTCTAAAACGGGAAAAAAAATGCAAAATGTACGGTTTTTTATGAAACAAAAAAAAAAATTCAATATCTGGTGTTGACAGTTGAGTCTTTTTAGAAAAAGAAAAAAAAAATTTAGAATTTAAAAAGGAAAAAAAAAATGTCCAATTATATGGTCTTTATGAAAATAAACCTAAGGAATAATAACATGTAAGAGTAAGAGTAATTGACTTTTAATTTCATAAATACTTAGTCACTAAACTTATTTTGTTTGATATATATTATTAACTTGTTGAAATTGCTCAAAAAATACCGATATAATGGGGCATTGTAGATTTGTTTGTTTTCGGCGTTTTTTCCAGCCAAATATAAGTTTTTCAAGTCATCTTTTATGAATTTTACAAGTTCTTGAAGGCCACACTTTCAATCTCAAGAAATCTGATGAAAGATTCTTCAAAAAATCTAAAAACCATGAACGATTCTTTAGAAAATCAAAAATCTAAAAACCATGAACGATTCTTTAGAAAATCAATTCTTAATGTCTTGATGTTCTAGTTCATCGAATTTCAATTCTTGATGTTTTGTTGTTCATCATAGTTTAAAATCTTCCATTGTTATAAAATATAAACAAATGAAATTTGAAAACCCTATAACTTCAAGATATCTCAAGAACGAACTTGAAGAACGAGTTGATGAACAAACAAACCCTAGAACTTTCAAGAATTATCAAATGAAACCTAGGACTCTAAAAAATAATATGAGGCACAAATGAACAAACATACCGAGAGATCTGATAAACATCAAAAAAAAAAACCTCAAGAACAATCTAATGAACAAATTTCAAGAAATCTCAAGAACGGACTTCGAAAACGAACCTAGAATCGAAACCTAAAAATCTAAAACCCTAGAACTCGAATCGGATGGAAATCTTAAACCCTAGAACTCGAATATAATGGAACTGACCTTTGCTATCTTGATTTTTTTTTTTTTGATGAAAATGGTAGTTTTTATCAAAATTTTATAGTTGTTATTTTTTCTTGAAATTGGGCGTTAAATAATGTTAACCATATTCCATACATTATAGGTCTATAAATAAGTCAAGCCTATATCAAACTCAACTTTCACTTGATATTTGTTAAGAGTCAACCCCAAAAAGACTTCCAATGCAAGCTCAAGCTTGGCTCAAGGATTATTCGAGAGCTTATAAAATCACATAATCTGTTTTAAGGTAATTTTTACAAATATATCAACACCATATTTCATCCATCAAAACCTTGTATTTCGAAAGTTTTTAAAACAAGAGAAGAGATGTCTATACACTATCTCAAGTAATCAAATGATAAAATCACTGGAAATAAATAAAGAAATGAAGGTCGGTCTATATAACTTAAAAACAAAAATTCTTGTGAATGCACTGGTCTGTCTACATGGGTTTCAAAAGGAGATGACTAGGAATGCACATCAAATGAAGAACATGAACATATTTTAGAAAAAGAAGAAAAAAAAAAAACTAAACTTAATATACTTACTATTATTTTAAGGAGTATTTCTTGCCTGTAAAGGCTTGAAATTTAGGTTCTTCCTTCTCAGATGATTCTTGTTTAGCTTCTTTCACCATAACCTGCAACTCAAAACAACCATTCATCCAATTACTTCCAATACCCATTATTACAAACAGACAAAAAAAAAACAAATCTTTTTTGAAAAAAGATCATACTTTTGGTTTCCCATTTGGCTTTTGGTCAACATTTGACCCAAAAACAAGTGTCCCAGATCGTTTTCTTGAACCAGAGGTTGATGGGTTCGAGCCATTTGCATCACTGGTTGTAGCCACGGTTTGAACCGGTGGCTCAGCCGGTTTCCCATCTAACCGTCTTCCTGAACCAGTAAACGGGCTAAACTTGGGTATTTTCTTATCTGGTTCTTCTTCAACTGCCATTTATAGAGATAAATTTTACAACTTTTTTAATAAAAGATAATGAAGGAAAAATGTAAAAAAAGAAGAGAAAACAGACCTTCTGGTGGTGTCTTAGATTTAACAGGAGGTCTTTCAGGCTCTTTGTAATCAAGAGGTGGAGCAAAATCAACCTCACAATCTGTTTCAATTATACTTATTGCAGCTGATGGTTTAGTTTCAACTATATCAATATAAAACTTCTTGTTGTTATAAGCCACCATGATTGTATCACCAGTTGTTAAACAAGAATAGCTTCTTAATGAAGTCTCCAAGCTGGAAATTCAAAACCGGATAAAATATCAAAATATGTAGAAAAAGAAAAAGATTAAATGCAGTATCATAAAACACTAACATTGCTTTTGGGTTGGATATATCAAGAAAATCTGTAGTGTGAGGCTGAAGTTTCACATAAGTTCCCTTTGATAAACTGGCATTCTTCACATTCACAATATCTCCTTCTTGTAAAAGCATGTTCTCCATCATCTGAAAATAATCAAAACAAAGAATTGGATATATATATATATATATATATATATATATATATATATATGTAGTGTTTTTCATGTTATTATATAAAAGAACAACTCATATAGTCATATCTCATACATACCCAATATGGAATGTATATTAAACCCTCATCTGCAACGAATTCAAGCACACCACAATGAGAAACTTTACTAGCAGAAGGATTGCTAAGTTCAAATAGCATTGGATAATCGATCTGCAAATAGGCTGCAAATTTGAGACAAAATAAAAAGTTAGTCTATAAATATAGAAGTTATATGATAAACAAAACAAAAAAATGTGAAAAAACTCACTAACCGAGGCGATCAAGAGCAGATGGAGGCATTATAACTGGGAGTTTATATAAAAGGTTAAAAAAAAAAAAAAAAAAAAAAACTTGTTAGTTTATATAAAACCAAATTAAAGGAGTGATGGAATGGAGATTGAACAAAAGAAACTTACTTTTATCACCTTTCTCCAAATGAGACTGCATAAGATACAAGAAGAAAAGATTTAGAAAGAGCCAAACATCAAGCAATAGTGGTATCATGATGTGGTTATATAAATTAACCAATAAAAACCTTTTCAATGAAAGAAACAGGATAACAGCGATAATTCTGTTCAAACTCTGAAGAATGGTCATCATAAACTTCATCCTCCTGGCAAGAAAACAAATCAAGGTGAGTGGTTTTATCTTGGACTAATGAATCTGATAACTTTATGAAAATGTTTTTTTAAGGATCTTTGTAATAATAACCAGCTAAAGAGAAACTCAAGAACTGTAGAAAATTACTTGATCACTAAAAAAACTAGGACTACAGCTCACTCAGGAATTTTATCGAACACCTTGAGTGCTTAAACATAATCACACCCAATATGAGTTCCAAACTACATTGTTAAATAATCTAATCACCCCTCATCGGTAAAGAATATATCCTCAATTGGTTATTTTGCAATCGATCATGGTTTATCATTCAATGAGCAATCATCGCGTGTCCTTAAGACCAAGTCATGTAGGAATCCGTCCATTATATAAATAAACTCCTAATTCAAACTGGGCATGATCTAACTGAACTAGACTTTTTATATGAAGAGTAGAACACCATTAAATGATCACAATAATTCAATTCCAAAGTATCAGTGAAAGTAGAAATCAGAATCATACCAATGCCATGACTTTTGATTTTATCTAAATCGTCCAGGAGATCACTGAAAACCTGTATGAATTCAGCACCAATAATGTCGATCAATGAGTTTTAAACAAGATTAACGCTGAAACAGATTCGATCATCAAAGATGAAGACTTTATTTTTCGGAAAACATATGTGTGAATCTAATACTAACAATAACAAAGAAACGAGTGGATGAAACAAAAGAAATCATCTGGTAGTTGCTGAAAGAACAGGGAAGATTCAAAGACCTTTGCTTTTTTTATTTTCCTTTGCGTAATTCAGTGGAAAGAGTTCTGTAAAACCTGTATTATATCGTCTTCAGAATCAACTTTACAATATATATATATATAGGGGATCGCGTTGCAAAGCGTGTTCTATATTGGGACTTGGGGGAGGACTTCTGCCGATCTTTATATTTAAAGGATAACTTAGTGAAACCCTAATATCTTTAAGGACTAATTTGAAACTTTAAATATTCCATTTTAATAACAATATCTTGTTTTAATAAAAAGGTAATTTCTGTAAATGTATGTTTTTATTATGAAGTACTAAGTATTAACTGAGATAATTAATGATTAGAATTTTCTCAAATAATAAAAATCATGTATAGGTAAAAGAAAATGGAAGGTAACGAATTAAATCAAAATATTGTAATATTTTACTTTATGTCAAGAAGCTATGGGGATTGTTGGATTTTTTATGGGTTTTTGAACATGTTAGAAAGATTATGATTTATATGAATTTGGATTTAGATTGATTTAAATGTGTTTGTTTGAATTTAGGTTTGGATTTATATGAAGTAGGGTTAAAATCATAAATAATAATAAAAAAACAAAAAACAAAGAAAAAACATATATATAGAATTTTTTGGATTAAGCTTCAAAATCATTGTTTTTTTTTTTAAAACGATCTTATATTTTACTATTTTATTCAATTTGACATTTTAAGAAGTATACGAGTAATCTTTTGATGTTTGACAAGTCTTCCAAAGAAACATTTTTTTTTTTTGAAAAAAAGTCACACATCACAACTATTTTTGGAGTTTAGTTTCAGTTTTCATGTTTTCTCGATCAGAAATGTTTTGAATCTTAGAAGTAATTTAATCCGTAATAATGTCCCTATATTCTTTTGAAACTCACTTTTTGTTTTCATTTTAACGGACTTTTAGTTTTGACTCACAATCTTTTTTTTTTTTTTTTTTGTTGTTGTTGTTTATAGTGTTTGAATGGTTTTCAACATTAGGATATGAAGAAAACATTTGATTTGTTCGAAACGAAACAAGAAGAAAACAACTTTGAGTATAGTTACTTGGTAAGGCATGTGGAATATACGGTGGATAACTATTGACCCATGTACAAATTTGGACACTACTCAATCCTTGTGGCTATGGAAGTTCGTCTGCGGTGACTTCAAGGCATGAGACATAGCCTCATGTTTGCAACGGAGGATTAGTCGGTGCGCAAAATATGACCTGAAAACCTTTGTTATGGATGTTTTCTTTCCAAAAAAAACAAAACAAAAAGGAAAACATTTGATTGGTTCAAAACACAGTGATTGCATATTCATAATGGATTGCGAAACAATATATTTCATTTCCTATTATCGATTTAAGAGAGTTGCGATTATTCTCTTCTAAACAATATTGTTTTTCCTCTGATTCTTTAGTTACATGTAAAATCACAGAAAAACTAATTTTAATGTACGTGTCGATATTTTGTAAGGATTTATAAAGTAAATAGGTCGGGAATAACAATGTGAGAAAAGAGTAATATTATAATGTTACAAGTAAATTATTTTTTTAATAATAAAAAATCAATTATTTTTTTTAATATATTAAATATGATTAAATTAAGTATATATATATATATATATATATATATATATATATATATATATATATATATATATATATATATATATATATATATATATATAATTTAACGTTTTATAAGAATATAAACATAATAAAAGTTTGTAAAGATATACATACATTTTTTAATTAAAAAAAAGTTGTTAATCATTGATTTAATAATGTTTAGTTGTTTGCTACTTCAGCAGCACCTTCGCTTTTCACATCGGCATATCAGTTTTTCACCATATTCCAAAAGCAACAATGTTATTTTATAAACCGTTAACTTCAATTTATGATTATAAAGAGAGATACTTATTCTATACCGTACTATTAGATGTATATATGGAGATTAGTGATGGACACTTATCAAGTCAACCATTATGTTTAACTTGTCAAGTCAACCATTATGTTTAGTTAATTGATCTGAATCATCTACATGACATAAACCTAAGAGGTGATAAGGTGTCTTTAGATACACATAGATGTCAACCACATGTCACATTCTAGCAACTCATTCGCGTGAATTTTGAGATGAAATATCAAATTATTTGATATCCTATGGTAACAACATATTGTCGATAGCTAAATTCTTGTAAATAAACTGTGTTTGAATGATCGGTGATAAAATAAAAATGTGATGTTTTTACAAACTACCCTTAATGTGTTGCATATTGTGCGTTTGCGATTCCCATAGGAAAATAAGAAGCTGACAAATTTGGGAATTATAGTAAGGATCGAGGGTGAACACAAACATGATTACAAAGGGTAAAAAAAAAATGATCCCTATCTTATAAGGGTGCACTGAGTCCCCTGAGTCATTGCGTTTTGGCCAAATTTTGACACCGTCAGGCTCGATGATATCGTCGTTCCTTTTTCCAAGGGTTTGACAGCAACGGCATCGGCAAGTGGTTAAAGCTTTTGGGTGATGGCTAGATTTCAAAATAATAATAATAATAATAATAATAATTTTTGCACCTATATAAACAAGAGAAAATTCATCAAATAACCAAAATGAGAAGAGTGTTTGAAGCAAATGACCAAGGAAAACATAATTTTATTAAATGATCATGACTTACTAATAGAGAGGGGCACGCGGAAGTCCTTATGCTCTGAGGAACAAGAAAACTCTCTGAGGAAATGATGTGGTGGAGAAAAAGACAAAAAAAAATTATAAAATTTTAATTCCGCAGAGGGTGCACCGTTCCACACAGATGTCATCTGTGTATCTGTTTTTCAGAAAAGTACCTCTGAGGAATTGTTTGTCGCTAAAACTTGACTTATTTCTTCGCTAAATTCTAAGTATATTTCTTAGAAACAAAGTTTTATAGTTTAAATTGTTATTTTGAATCAATGATATGTGCTAAAATTTGGTGCCTCGTTAGATTTAGAAGAAAACAAATACCAAAATCATTATTAGGCTATGTTTTAGCGAAGAACAATTCCTTAGAGATACTCCTCTGAAGAATAGATCCGCAGATGGCTTCTCTGTGGAACGATGCACCCTCTGTGGAATTAAAATTTTATAATTTTCTTTTTTTATTTGTATTTTCCCCCGCCATGTCATTTCCTCAAATAGTTTTCTTGTTTCTCAGAGCATAAGGACTTCCGCAGAACCCCTCTCTGCAAAAGTCGTGGTTATTTTATAAAATTGTGTTTTTCATTGTCATTTGCTTGAAACACCTCTCCTTTTGGTTATGTGATGAATTTTCTCTATAAACAATTAAACACACTATCACAACTCAAAAAATCACATCACCTTTCTTTTTTCCTTTCTCCACTCTTTCATTTCAATTTTATACTTTCAAGTTTCAAATCAATTCCAATGGATTTGAGTCGTGGAAAATCCCAAAAAAACAGTGTTGCTCAAAGAAGGAATCGTCAGCACGAAACCGATACCCAAATGCCTATGCCAAATATGATTCCAAACTGAAATGCCAATGCTAATTTATGAAAATCAGTTTCAATCACAACACTATCAACTCGAACAATTCTAATCCTAACAAAACCTATAAGCAATTTTAATGTTCTCAAGTCTACAACCAAGGTATCATTTTATCGCCAAATGAAGTATATATTCCTGACACTTCACATTTTCGAGAGCCTGCTTATGAAGAATCTAGCGACGAAACCAAACCCCCATCTGAAAACCAAAATGACGAGGTAGACGTAGCCCAACTCCCATCTCAAACCCAAGCCCCATCACAAGAGAGAACAACTCAACCGACGAGAAATTTTATGCAAAGGTTGAAACGTCGGTCATGGATCAAAACATATGAAGTAGTGTTAGTCAAAGTGTTTATCATTACTTAGGATTTTATGGATGGAAGGCTTAAAATATTTCTAGGTTTAATTATCTTATTTAGGATTTTATTTTCGTATTTAAGATTTTAATTCTCGTATTTATGATTTTAATTTTCATTTGTATTTGTGTGTGTTTTCTACTTAAATGCTTTTTTATATTTTAGTTTCTATTTATTTTTTTTAAATTATTTCTTTTGTAATTTGTTTATTGTTTTAATATTTTTTTAATCAAAATTGAGAAAGTTTGAATGGTTAAGAAAGATGGGTATCATGTTTGTGGTTGGGAATCATAGAGTAGAAAATAGAGAGAAAAAACTAGGGAGGAGGGAATCACAACCCACTAAACTTACTACCACATAACTATTTCTTTTTTATTTTTCTTTATCTTTTCCAACCCACAACACATGAAAACCTTATCTTTTTTAACTCACTCAACCCATTTAATTAAAAAAATACAAAACAATCAAATGTAAAATCTTAATTGGCAATAGAGTTACCACCGGTACCACTCCCGCTTCTTCAACAAATTGTTTAATTGGTTTCACTAACTCACATCATCATCTCTCTCTATTTTCTCTCTCTCATTTTCTTTTGTACCATGTGCTTTAAAATTTATACCTTAGTTGTTTTGTATTTTTTTTAATTGAGTGAGTTGAGAAATATAGGATTTCTGTGTGTTGTGGGTTAGGAAATCCTATCTTTCTCAACCCATTCAATTAAAAAAAATACAATACAACTAAAGTACAAGTTTTAAAACACATGGTACAAAAGAAAATGAGAGAGAGAAAGTAGAGAGAGGTGATGATGTGGGTTAGTGAAACCAATTAACCAACTCGTTGAAGTGTGAGTGGTACCGCCAGTAACTCTATTGCTAATTAAGATTTTACCTTTAATTGTTTTGTATTTTTTTTTTAATTGAATGGGTTGAGTGGGTTCAAAATGATAGAGTTTCTGTGTGTTGTAGGTTAGGAAATATAATAGAAAAATAATAAGAAAAAGTGATGTGCCGGTGGGTTCAGTGGGTTAGGAAGGAATGACTCTCTTTTCCCTTATAAGACAACTAGGCGAATCCTCGCGCGTTGCATGATAATAGAATTATATAGTTAAAATAATATCTTTTACCAATTTATTATTTAATATTTCTACTTTGAAACAAAATGTTAGTAGTAAATGAAGCATATAGTTAACATATTAGTTTTATTAAACATTATAATTTAATTTTTAAGTCATTGTGATATATACAATTATTTGATAATTTTATAAACAGTTTAAAATTGTGTAAATTATATATCAAATGAATGATAATATAACGGGTAACAAAATGTATGAACAAAAATATGAATTGAAACTTTTATTAACATAAAAATAGAAAAACATCTATTATAACATTTGTATTAAAAATGTATGTATACAACGAATAATAAAAAAAAAATATGAAAAATAAACACTATAACTTTTAATAACATAAAAACACTAAAATATCTATTATAACATTTATATTAACTCTTCATATTTAAATCACAAATCTCTTCAAATACCTTAATATTTTTAATGAGCAAAACTTTACAACCTTATAAAAGAAAGAAAAATAAAAAGTTATTAATAATTACTAATTAATAATCATAAGTTAAAAACTCTTAAGTTGTAACTAATAAATATATATAAATTAAAAAACTCTTGAGTTGTAGTGTGGGTTTCAAATGAATACGGTACTTGGAAATATATTATTATTATTATTATTATTATTATTATTATTATTATTATTATTATTATTATTCTAAATAATTGGTTTTGATGCATCATTTTAATCCCTTCAATTATTAAATATAAAGATATTTAATTATAAATTTATAACATACATAGGTACATATACATGTTAAACAAATCACATAATATATATATATATATATATATATATATATATATATATATATATATATATTCGTAAATGTTATATATAATTATTGTCGTAGTAATATAGATAAATTACTTTCATATGAAGAATATATCATGATAAGTCTATCATAATTACATATCAAATGTTCAAAATTATGTTATCTTTTAAATATTGTCTTTTAAATATGTTGTGTAGGAAAACCCAACAAAAAAAATAATATAAAATAAACATAATCAAAATAGAAAAACTACAATTAATAAATAAGAGTATTGAGTGGTTGAATATATAAATAAAGATGTTACATAAAGATACATTTAAATCAAAAGAAAAAATAACATTCGTCAACTTCGCTCGAACAAAAAAACTTATATCCATTTTATGAATCTTCTTTCTTCATTTAACACTATTCAACCATAGAATCTTGATGATAATTCTTCACTAACCAGCAATCAAAATATTTTTCTTGAAAAAGAAGAATCAGAAAGATATTTCAAGCAAAACATTGATGTTTGGAGAGTCGCATTCAAGATTGAATAATGCATACAAATCACATTTAAAGATTAAATGAGAAACTGAATATAAATAAATAATAGAAAAACTTCAGTTGTTTTGGTTGAAAAAAAAACATATTACAATTACCATCGATGCGACATAACTCATTTCTAAATCATCATATTTGGATCATGAATGCTTCAACTATATGAAAACTCTTGAATCATAATATCTTTAAATCCTTCTTACATATAAGATTTTATATAACACAAAAGATTGGTCTTTTTTTAGTAATTTTTTCACTAAATGCTAATTAAACATAATATAAGTTATAAAACTTTTGAGTGTTAAATCATAATTAAGAAAACTTTTGAGTTGCATTAGTTAAAAAAAAATGTTTCAAATAAATGTGGTTTGAGAAACTTAAAAAATGGAATTTCAAGTGCATGAAATTCAAGAAAAAATACTAGTTGTATAAATATGTATGAAATGATTAGGATAAGAACAACTTTTTAATAATCAATAACCGTATTATTATCTAATGATTATGGATTTTATAAATCTAACTAATTTTTAAACCGAACATTAGATTTTATAGCATTTTAAAATCAAATCTATTGAAATCGCTTTAAATACTTCAAACCAAACGCCGAATTTGGATAACATGCTTTTTATTATCATTTTTAACTTTTATAAGCAATTTATTAAATAAATGTGATTAAAATTTATACTAATAAAATAATGATATATTCTATAAGGTCTTTTAGGATATTAATCATATTATAAACATTTAATAATTATAGTCGCTTTGATCCTTTGTCCTATGTATTTAAAATCTATTCAATTTCTATTTGTTTGATTCGGTGTAAGAATACTAACTCAAATCAACTAATGTAGTTTGCGATAATCATGGGGGTAGGGGCTTAATTTTTTTCATTATATATTTTTATTTAAAATTATAAAATTATAATAAAGATAAGGATCATTCTTTTTTGTTTGTCCTGGGCCTTTAAAAATATTTTATTTTTCAGGACCGGCTCTAGTGATAATCGAAACTGGAATATATAATGCTTTTATAATAAAATAAAATGAAAAAAATATGGTTTATTATTATTCAATCAGTTTTGTGCTAATAATGATTAGAATCGTTGATTATTTCAATTCTCATTGATCATTCCAATTGGACTTTCCAGAATATTTCATATTCTCACACAAAAACAGCTCAAACAACAAGCAACATGTGTTTCGTTGACCAAATATGTAGCTTTTGAGAGACACAAAAAACCTAGGTAAGGCGACCTAGTGACTTACGATGCCAAAATCATATTTATATATCTAGGCCTTGAGGATTCCTTTGACAACTTTCTAGCAATTTATTCCAATCCTCGATCCATTCCGGCCAAGAGAGTCTAGAAATGTTTTTGATCACAAAACACTTCATATTTTGTCACACTAACCAATTACATAAATTAAACGATTAGCTAACTTGATATAGAGGATTGTAAATGATGAATTTTAGCATGGATGATCCACATACTCCTCTAGTACTTAGGGTTGAGTGTACGCAAAGGTAAACCATGTACTATGGCTATAGGAACTTTCATGGATAAATTTGGTCCGAGTGTAAATCTTGTACCAAAGTTTGAGAGAATAATTAATTGAAATTTTTGAATGATATGTTTGTGTGTGTTTGCTTGATAGTTAATGCAGTGAACAAATATTAATTTCAACTTTTTATGTTTTAGTCCTCCAATTATCCTTCTCTGACACCTCCAGCCACACAGCTTCACTTCAACTACTCAAAGCACTTGATCTTTATCTTGTATGTGTTTTAAGCCCAATCAACAACCGTCTTTACAAATTCAGTCGTGAAATAACAAACACAAATAAACTAAGCCTGACTTATTCTTTCCAAGTTGAGATTAATAAAGGCAACATGCTTTTCCGTTTTCTTGTTTATATAACTACTGTGTTCATCCATTTCCTTTTGTGGATTCCATTGTATCATATATAAAAGACATAAGAAAATTTTAATGAGTGCAAGTTGTGTAAAACAAAACCAATATGTAGTGTTTCTTTCTTGTTTAAATCACTGGTTTATAATCTCTGGAACCATGATTATAAAACAAATTAAACTTTCATATTAAAAACTCAAAATTATTATTCAAAATTTTTAATAAATTATTAATTAAAATATATATTTTTGTTATATAAAATTGCAATCATTGATTTAAATAAATACATGAAATTTGAAATAGAATTAGAGTATGAAATTTGAAATTTGAAATAGAAAATTAATAAGTTGACAATTGACATGATATTAATTAAAAAACTTAATATGGTGATATATGACAAAAGAAGAACAAACCTATCATTTTATTCTAATAGAAAGATTGTTTTGATTTTTGTTAGAATGATACATGAATATATTGGGATTGGACTTTAAAGATAGACTAATTGAATAAGCATAAATATTAATTACGTTGATTTAATTTCTTAAATCTCAAATAATACAACATACAACATAAATAATAAAGAAGAAACTTCGTTGGTTTCACCAATATTGTCGTCATTTTCATCGCCCGTTTTAGGTAACCGACACTCACCGCCCAATGTGTCAAAAACTCACTTTCTTTTCCTATCTCATTTTTCTAAACTCATGTCTATACGTCTATTAGTTATTGTGATTTCAAAAAGTCACAAAAATAGCAAAAATCATTAACATGTTTAAGAATTTGACCATCTTTTACACGGTTATTGCTACTAATTTTGTATTTCAAAAAAATGATTATCATGAAATAAAATAATAATAATAATAATAAATTGTGACAAACATTGTAAGGAGAATGTAATCGTTGTATTTTAGAAAAGAGGTACCGCCAATACCTCCAAGATGTGATTCCCCCCATCGGGTCAAGACTGATAACGTGAAATACAGGTTCACCAAACCGCTCCCTTTTTCTCTTTACACTCTCCCCATTCCTTCTAAGCATTAACTAGTTTGTGAATTAACTCTATATGTTTTTTTTTTAATTTTTTTTGTCAATTAGTTTTGTATGATTTTTATTAGTTTGTGTTCATTTTAAAATTAAAAATTAAAAATTAAATGGAATGACAAAATATAGATTGAGAAAGATGGAAGAGGTCCAGGGTTCTAAACCATGACACGTCCCACCCCAAAATATCACTAGAATATTTGAAGCAACTTAAACACAAAATGAAAGACTTCTGTTACAATGACACATTCCAACTGGGATATTGTATATAACAGACCATGATATATATATATTGATCAATCCATGTTTTAAGTAAAAACTAGTTAATGACAAGATAGATATGATGCATATAATTTACATGTAGCTCGCAAAACTGTTCCTTATATTATATTGTACGTCATTCTTCTTCTTCTTCTTCTAACCCAAACAGACTTCCAGGAGAAGCAGCCACCACAGCAAATATCATCTAACAACATTAAACACCCAGAATTATGATTTTAGAGAGTAAAAGAAACCCACCACACATTCATCACATACCTTCTGTCAAGTTTCAAAACATCCACACAGGAGAGCTCCATTAAAGACGCACCCAAAGGCCAAAAGGAATTCCCCCTTTTCATTCAGAATCAGCAACACAACAGAAGATTCCATTTCCTCCTTTAACCTCCTAACCTAAGCTGGGACCCAACAAGAAGTAGCACGCAGAATCCTACCTTTCCATCCCTGTAACACCCATTTCCCATCATCATCAAACACAAAATCCTTATGATACCCTGCTTTCACCTTCCCCCTCAGTTTAGAAACAAAAGCCCTCTCCAAAGGTTTGATCTTGAACCCAGCTCTCAAATTCCTAGCTTGCCACTGCTTATAAGTCTCGGGCCTTTCCACCCTTTCAGCACCTTCACACGCAATCACATTCAGAGCTTCACGCCCACAAAACTCCCTCTCAAAATTCAACCTATCTTCATCTTCACGATCTAAAGTAGCATCAAACATATCGAACATTGAAGAGAAATGAAAAAGAGCCTCCTTGAAACGGGTTACAAAAAACGGAGAACTGTAAGACCCATTCACTACAGTCTGAACAAACATATCAGGCTTCATGTCCCTAATCAGCTTCAGAACACCATCTCGTGGATTGCTCTCCATAACCGAATCATCATGTAAGTTCTTGAAAGAAATCAGATTGTTCACTGCAAGACATTCGTTTCTTTGTAGCTTTAGATCTTCAATCTTGATCAGCTCCCAGTTTTGAATTGCTATTGCGTTATACTCAAATGGGACATTGAATCTTGCACAGTAGTTAGCTAAACGACGCCCTGTCTCCTCCACCCTTTCAGAGGGTCTAAAACCAGGGTCCGGGAGGTCTATTCCGGTGACTCTCAGCTTAGGTGGGCCCCCGCGCCTCTCTGAAAGATGCTTGATGAGAATAGGCCATTGACAACCATATGCAATACCAAAATCTACAATATGAAGAGTGGAATATGTTGAAGCTGCATCATATATCAGTTTTCCAGCAAAGAAAATGGCAATCTTCTTGAAAGGACAAGATGAGATATAAGACTGATAAGCTTTCAGCTTTTCAGAAGCTGAGATCTTTATGGTGCTTTTAGACATGTAAAGATGAGAACCAATGCCAGCTAAGCGAGCTTCAAGACCATTAGCAAAGATATGAGCTAGCCTTTGTGGGGCATCACCTGAAGGGGAAGCGTGTTGTCTTATTTGGTTTAGCTGTTCGTTTGCAGTTATATAATCATCAGTAGCAACTGATTGTGCACAGTTTACCAATAGAGTTCTAACATCTGTGGGCTCACCTGAGCTTCCTCCCCAAGAACGATCAATCCAACCACTGGTGTATCTATGAGCATGTCCGTTTTGCTGTGATTTTTTGTTTACTACAGGCTTAGGTGGTTCTTCAGAGGCGGATGTGGAAGAACATTCATTATATGTACAAGAAACGATTCTATCAAACATATCACACAGCTCGACTTCTTCCTCAAAAACAGCAGAATGTTTGCTACTCCTTTCTTCCTCATAACTTGTATCCTCACGATGACACTTTTTCCTTCCCCTGAATGAGTTACCTTTTGTCTCGACATTCTCTTCCTTGACAACCGCTTTTGTGGGAGATTGTCTTGGATTTGAAGGTAAGTTGTATTTGTCTAAATCGATGACTAGGGGTTTACTAGGAGGGAGGAATTTGCTAGCTTCCTCCATCCCTCTATTGAACTGTAAGATAGATTCGTTATCAGTGAATATGTTTTCAATGATGTGTGTGTTTACCATTGAATTCAATGTGCTGAAACCATCATTGGTAACGCTAGTGGTGGAGCCAAATGAAGATAACAAAGGGTGTTCAAGAGAATGTGTTTGTGGAAATGATGATGATTTGGCTTCAAGAGAATCACCACCAGGCCATTGAGAATCATTGGAGTTGCTACTGTTTGTGCTGTAGTCACTTGCGCTACTGAATAAGTTGTCTTCGGGGATTTCAACGTTTGAAGGAGGGTATTTCTCAACAAGGGCTTCATAGAATGATTCCTCTGTTGCTTGTAGAGCTAAGGGGTCATGAAACATGCTCTGTTTAGCCTCCATATCCTCTTCCACGAGAATCTGGTTTATGTACCTAACAACACAATCTGAAAAGTCATCGGGGGAGTCTACTTGTGTGGACATGCGTGAAGAGGAATCTGAAGTATAGGGGCCAGAATTTGGTTCCCTGTTAGGAGCTTCTAAAAAGCTGAGATCTAAAGGTTCTTCTCTGAATCGGTATCCATTAGCAAGGCCTGGCGGCTGACCAAAAATAGGCAGGATACTCTCATCATCCAAAGAGAAACTATTGATGTAATCAGAGAATTCATCATGCCGCGGTTCCATAATCATCGATGCTTATTTCCGCTAGTTCTGGATAAACTAAACAAAAAGTAATTAGACAAAGTTTATAACTACAATTTCTACAAACAAAATATACCAAAAGTAAACATAATTCATCCGAAAAACAGTACGAATTCAACAACGCAACTCATCGCATATATAAGACCGTATACAAAAAAGGACATAAAAACCCTAAAATCCAGCGATGGATCTAATTAGTAACGAATCAGCCAAAATTAGTAATAAGAAACAAAAGAATCAATACCTAATCAACGCCAATTAAGTGGAATCAATACCTAATTAACGCCAACTAAGTGCAAAAATCACAGACCTAGAAACAGATGTTTGGATGAAGGGCGGATATTATGAGATCTGGAGATACAAAGAAGAAAGACTTTTCCCACAAAAGGGGTGTGAAATGGGGAGCAGTTGGCTGAGTACCTTTATAAACCGTGTCAACGAAGAATCAAGAATGCAGGTGAGTTTACTCGAACGTCGGCCACACCGGCTACAGTCAGTCGATCATGGTTGTGTTTGTGGTTGTAGTCGTGGCCTCGTGGGTTTTGTTGACTTGACCTCCTCTTTCTTAGTTGACGAGAAAAACAAGTGATCACATTGTTAAAAAAAAAAAAACTCAAGCCACTTTATCTTACCAAACCAACTTTTGACCAAAAAAAAAGCGATTGTGGTTAATTTATTAAAAATTAACATTTTTACTTTTAAAAAAAATTATAAATATAAACTCAGGATTTTATGACATTAAAATTAGCTAAACTAGACAAATGTAATAAAGGTTCTTTAAAGGGATAATGACTTAAAAATGTAACGAAGTTTCAAAAGTGTACAAAAAGATCATTGTTGTCTTTTTTGTACATAAAATACTATTTTACCGGTTATTGTAGGTTATCCGGTTTTCAAATGTTCAAAAAATACCATTATTGTTTTTTTAGTACAAAAAACACCATTAATGTTACTATTTGTACACAGAATACCAACAAAATACACATGTGTTCAACTAAAACATTGTGGTAACCAGGTACTTCAGGTAAATGGGATGAGATGAGCGTAATCAACAAGTCCTTGTTTAATTTTTGTTGAAATTATTGGAAAAGATCTTACTTCCACTGTATGATCAGCCGAACAAGATTACAGGTGATGCTTCGGCTGATAAATTTTTCTTCAAATCGGTGATGAGAAGAGCGTAATCAGCAAGTGCTTGTTCGGCTGTTAGATAGGCTAAAGTAGAAGCATTCTTGTATGCCTCTTTCTGGCTTCCATATGGCATCGATTCACCATAATATCGATGCTAGATCAAATCACGCAGCTTTTGATAAAATTGTATTATTAAAAGTCAGCAAGTGAACAAATTAATGTAGAGTAGAGTGATTAGGGCTTTTACTTCGGGGAAGATGACCATGGCACCAAAACGAGGGGCGAGTTCCCAAACGAAGTCGGTGTTGGCAGCGAACCATTCGATGTCGCCTTCGTTGCCGCAATAAAGGAAGATTGGCCTCAAACGACTAGGGCCTGGGCCCACCCAGTGATCGGAGTTGATGAGATAATGTTGTTGGAACTTGGGAAGATCATTGAAACTGAAATGATCAAGAGTCTGATCAAAGTATCGTGTCTCGTAAGTGTACTTCGGCTGAACAAGAATATTTGGGTTTTGAGAAGCCGTAGGGATTTGCCGAGAAACGGAGGTGGCCGGTGAGATTCCGACGTTGATGAAAGTAGGCAGATGATTAGGAGGAAGAATAAGAAAAAGGGTTTTGCCATGGTGGTGGAGGGTGGCGATGAACAACAGTAGTGGCCGAAGTGAAGTTGAGGGTTCTTTATAAAAAAGTAGCTAAATTTCCATTACATTCAAAGAAGGAAAAATGACTTAAAAAGGTAACAAAGTTTCAAAAATGTACAAAAAAACCATTGTTTTTTTTTTGTACACAAAATACCATTTTACCGGCTATTGTAGGTTACCCACAAGGTATTATTTGAACACATGTGTACTTCATTGGTATTTTGTGTATAAAAAATATACTTTAATGGTATTTTAAATACTAAATATAAAATAATGGTATTTTTTGTACATTTTTGAAACTTCATTATCTTTTTACGTCATTATCCCTTCTTTAAATGATATGTAAGTTGTTAATGCATCTTTGGTTATTGGGATACTATTACTAACAAAAACAACCTGAGCAAGCTTGGTGAAATGTTACAGAAATAATTTCAGTTTTTTAAATGATTTATTTAGAACACCTGAATATTATAAAATTTGAAATAATTTAGCTAACATTTACAACAAACATTTACGATACATATTATTCATTATTTAAGCTAAACATTGTTATAAGGTTTTTACCGTCGACATTCCGACATGGTGATATCCCAACATCATACTATTACTAATTTCCCTCTCTTTTTTTGTTGTTCAAATTCATTTTCTCACGCTCCTCATTCCACCATTTTTTGCCAAGATTTGTCTTTCAACACCACACTTTAGCTTCTAGCAAAAATGACAAAAATGTCAATACTCCTTATTGATGATGAAAATAAGTTATGTTATGAATACATTTTATAATGACACAACTATACTCGTAAAACTCATAATAATATTTATTAAAATGTTCACTAATGATGGTGATAGATGAGAAAATATGTGGAATCTATTGGTCGTTCACTATATAATATTTCATAACACTCCCCCTTAAATGACAATTGTATCATGTGTCGTTAAAACTTTAATAGGTAAAATCTCATGGGAAAAAACTCTTATTAAGGAAAAAAAGTACATGATTAATAATAGACATCGGAAATAATTGTCTCGTTAAAAACTTTGCTAAGAAAACCCTATGAAAAACTTAGCTAAGGAAAAAAGTAATATGTTTCTAATTTCCTCCTGATGGACACATCACTTGATTTCCTTGAAGTGTCGCACACCAATATTTCGCACCATCTTTTCACATTTGGATGTAGGAAGTGCTTTAGTGAACAAATCAGCGAATGTAAGTCCCAAATTTTGCTTGATGTATCAATCAAATCCACTTGATGGTGTGGAATCCCAATTAAGTGAATGATGCAAGATCAAACGTGGAAGAAGGAGAAGAAGGAGAAGAAGAAGAAGAATATGAACTTGATGAATCTTCATACTCCCTGCCGTTGACTTTTAGGGTTTGGTCAACATGTAGTCTATTGAGCCCATGGAGGGGTAAAATGGTCTTTTACTCTTATGTGAGTGCATGGAAGGGTTAGTTTAGCCTTGTGAGGGTCGTTATTAATTAGGGATAATTATTGTGTGCGTTAGGCGGAGGCTAGACCGGTTATTCGAGTTTTATCTGAGTTCTTACGAGGTGAGTCTTGTTACTATATTTTACCTAGAGTGGTAACTATGTATGATCAGAGGGTCTTATGTTCTTGTTGAGTTATGCTTTTTTGTGTGATATGTACTGTATGCTATATTATGTGTTACTTAGATCGAACCAGAGGGTCCAACGAACTATGAGACCGGAGGGTTCTCAACCAGACCGGACTAAAGGGTCCAACGAGCCATAGGACTAGAGAGTCCCAACCAGACAGGACCGGAGGGTCCGTCGAGTTGTGGGACTGGAGGGTCCCACCGAGACACATTGACCGAAGGGTCTTACAGAGTTATAACCTCCAATGGCTAATTATATGTGCGTGGTATTTTGAGGAACTCACTAAGCTTTGTGCTTACCGTGTTATGTGTTTCAGGTACTTTCGAGGATCGTGAGAAGGCATCGGCTTAATTGTAGACACACACATGAGCTGGAGTTATATTTATTGTGGATCCTGGAATTGTGAAAAACTAATTTGAAATATGTTTTGACATTGAGACTTAAAGTTTTGGAGAATATGATATGTAATTTACCATATTTTGAAAATGAAAAATTGGTTGAAAATTTTATGTCGTTACAAGTTGGTATCAGAGCCTTAGTTTGAGGGATTCGGATGCAACTTCGGGTATGTCTGGACTCAAACTGAGGATTTGAGAAAAAATTTCAAAAGAAACAATTTTTCTAAAAACGAGTAAGAGTTTCAAAAAGAAAAACGAGAAGAGCAGTGTGTACAATCAGCCAGAGCCCAAATGGTGATTTCCCAAAATACCCTTACTTTCTGTGTTATGAGATATTTATGAGATATTACGCGATATGTTATGCATGCTAGAGAGTAGGCTAGGTATTTCATAATTTAGGACTAGAGTGGCCTGATATGTGATGCATTAGCCTAGGAGTTACTGCTACTAGTGAGTTGCTTGAGTGAGAGTATGTAGCAGAGATGAGCTTATAAGAGGTCTACTATGAGAGTAGTCGATGTTAGACGAGATATAGAGTACTTGTGATGAAGGATCCTAAGAAGGAGACTTGGGATGAGCACAAATGCGGTGTGGAAGGTAGTATTGGGTCCATATTACTGGAAACACCGGATCGGTGAGTAGTCCAAGTAAGAATCCTTAGGATGTTAAGGAACAAGTAGGGGTGGGTGATCGAGTGTGAGTAATCTCACAATCGAACCTCTGATTATTTTGTGTTGTATTTCAGAGACATCATGGTGAGTATGTGCCACAACCCTGAGAGCAGTGGGGTCAGTGATGAGGAGATTTGTAGGATGATTCATGATGAGGTAGCTGCAGCTATCTGAGAGGCTATCCCAGAGATGTTCAGGTCTATTAAGACCACACTGGTTGATATGTTTGAAGAGTGATATGTTGTTGTTATGAAGGCAGTTGGTGTTGTAGCCACCGCAGTTGTCGCTGCTACCAGGCCACATGGGGGTGACTCATTGTTGTACCGAGAGTTCAGCAACACGAAGCCACCAGAGTTTGACGGGACTCAGGATCTGATTGCCGCGATGAGATGGATCTCTGACATCGAGGGGTGTTTCTACACTTGTTACTTTCCGGAACATTTGAGGGTACGGTTCACGCCGAACCAACTTCGCTTGGGGGCGAAGGACTGGTGGAAGTTTGTGACAGCTAGCTTCACCCA